GAAAAGAAGGTCCACGCAAGACTTCGGACAACAAACGAATGCGACGGACGACATCGTTGCAGAACCCGCAACAAAACAACAACGCACTACACCACCTCCACGACTTCCGTCAACATCGACGTCAAGTTCACGACCACTACCGGATAGTCCTATGGCTACTTCACCAACCGGACGACAACATCCACCACTACCAGCACCACCTCGACAAACACTACGACGTTTAACTCCGGAAGAAGTAATGCAACCAACTAAAGCACAGAAGACCTCAAAGGACACTACAATCAGATCAACGGAACAAGCAACCAAAGAACCACCACCACTACGACAGAAAATCAACGCAGTGACACTTCCCAACGGAAAATCCATCACTCCCTACACAAACGACGACACCTCAGAAGACCAACCCATAATCTTCGACAACGAAGGTTACGACGAAACACAACTACTGGAAGGAATGAAACACGAGTCAAACCAAATGAAACTACACGACGTCTACGACGAAGTAGATGCGTCTACCGTCGACGACAACGTCATAAGAGAAGCGATACCTACTAGATGGGTACACAGGAAGAAAGGACCAGGAGTGCGAAGCCGAATCGTCGCAAAAGGCTACACCGAGAAGATCGAGGACGAAGACTCCGTCTACGCTTCTACACCAATGTTCACGACACTCCGGACACTTCTCGCACTACAAATGTCACGACCAAACTGGATCGCGCGACTAGGTGACGTCTCTACAGCATTTCTACACGCACCCATCGCAAAAGACCACGACGGTAAACAACGTGACGTCTACCTTTGGCCACCTAAAGAACTTTGTCCACAACAGGACAAAATCTGGCGACTAAAGAAAGCCATGTATGGACTACGCAGTTCACCGAAAGCATGGCAGGACTACCTGGCTGAAGTTCTACAAAAGCTCAGCTTTGTAAGACTAAAGTCAGAACCCAACGTCTACACCAATGCGACTCGCGACTGCTACATCATGGTCTACGTGGACGATCTACTAGTACTTGGAGACAAGACCGCAGTCGACTCCACTTTCGAGGCCGTCCAGAAGCAGGTACTACTCAAGCACATCGGCTACCTCGAACCTGGCAAACCACAACAATTTCTTGGAAGAAACATCGACCACTTCGGCAACTACTGCAATCTTGGACTAGAGGACTCCTACATCGACAACATGATCGAGGAGTCTGGAATGAACAACTGCAACTCAGTAAACACTCCAGGAATTGCACACTACAAACCAACAATAGAAGATGAAGCACTACTTGACCACGAACAACACAAAAGGTGCAGAAGAATTGTTGGCAAACTTCAATGGTTAGCATACACACGACCAGACATTGCATACTCCACAAAAGAACTAGCACGAGACCTCACAGCACCTACAGAACTTTCGCAAAAGAGAGTCAAACATCTACTACGCTACTTGCACGGCACCAAGCACTACAAATTCACCATAGAACCAACAACAACACTCAGAGCAAACACCAACAACATCCTGGATCTCGACGTTCATGTCGATGCCGACTGGGCAGGATGCCCTACTACCAGGAAATCAACTTCAGGTTTCAACATCATCTTTCTAGGAACAACAGTTGCATTTGGCAGCAGAACACAAGCTACAATAGCACTCAGCTCAGCAGAGTCTGAACTCTACGCCATTTGCACAGGAGTTAATGAGGGACTACACCTCAGAAACTTCCTACTTGAAACCAACATTTGCAGCAAGCTAAACCTACGCATCCACACAGACTCCACAGCAGGCAAGAGCATTGCTACACGACAAGGCACTAGCAAACGAGCAAAACACATCGAACTCAAATTCCTCTACACACAAGACCTCATCAAGCACGACATCATCAGAATCCTTAAGATCAACACACTCCACAACAGCGCAGATTTGTTTACCAAATACATCAGCAAAGAAACACTACACAGGCTCATCCAGAGCATTGGAATACGCATCTAGCACTACGAACGACCAGCACAGCAGTTTCACAACAACAACAACGACTTTGGACATTTCATGTATGTAAGTAGCTACATGTAACACGACACTTTTGGTATGTAAGTAACAGTAACTACATGTACTTTCACTTGCACTTTTGGCGGCTTGAGTCAACACTACAGTTGTTTGTTTTACATGTCTGCATTCGCCGACTGCCTGGTAGCAACTACTTAGGCTCATTTGTTTTGCCCCGTTTCACTACATTTTGCATTCCACTGCAGCCATGGCCGCTCCATCTACTGCAGATGCTACGATGGGAGACGCCACTACGCCCGACAGGGCGACTACACCTGAGGCGGCGGTCACTACGGACTCCAGTGACCATGGAACTCCACCACCTCAAACCTACAACGACTCCAACTACCACTTCAACCATTCGACACCCGGCAACACCGTCTACTACAACCCGACCACAGTGATGGACCAACTACACATCACTGAGCACCAGACAACCACTGCACCACCACTGGCCAACAACATTCCCTACACGCAATTTTTCACTGCATTTACACTTGAAGAGTATCAACTACTCTCACAACAACAAGCTACTCCACTGGCACAACTGGACTACACACGACCCATTCACTGCATCCCTGGAGATCTTCGGATGCCACACTACAATTCCACACTGCTCAGCATTTCACTACCTGAAGCAGCCAACGTCCACTACTACCACACGACTTCACTCCACACTACAACTGGCGACAACACCAACTACGTCATCATCCAACTCCAGATTGAACAACCACTACTCCTGAGGTACCTCACTTCAGGACAATTTCTACACTTCACAAGGGACTACATCTCCTACATGATGTCGGTACAACACAACTACTACCTCCCGACTACAACACTGCCACAGACCATCTTCAAGGTGAACTACAACATGACCACCTTCACTGACAACTACAGCCTCAGGAACAACTACGTTTGGAATTTCCACATGCCACTACTAACTACCTGAACTACTCCACTACCTCTACAACAGAGACCAACTCCACGACTACCAACACAAAGCAATCACTACAATCCTCTGCAAAAGCATCCAATACTACGGATTCACACTACTCACAATGACCAACCTCGCACAACACCACAAAGCACTACTACACCGCTTTCTACGGGACTACGACCAACACATGTCGTGTCCCGAGATTGATGATGAGCGACTACGGGGAGCTCCGAACTACATGACAACCTTTTTCACCACCAACTACTACGCGACCTTGGACAGTCGACTACAGATGGTCCAAGCCTACCGCACCCAGAAATGGGGACTACATTTTTGAGCTCCAACGAGTGCCTGCCTTCACTACTTCCGTCCAGCGCCCTACACCGAGCTGGAACCTGAACAGCGTGAACTACTGAGCGCAGGTCACTACTTTTGCCAATACAGTAGAATTGATGAACAACAATGGTTTTCATCACTACTGTCAATCCATGTTTTGCACTTCAGTTGAAAAGGTACTACAAAGACCTTTTAACTGAGGGGCCGTGTCAAACTACATGCTTCACTTTGCACTCTTGTTGCATGTATGTTCACTACCGCAGGCCTTGAACTTACTACTCCGCATGAGTCAAAAGATTGGCAGCTGCAGACTACATTGGTTGACTGTTTGTTTGAACACTACAGCACTTGCACTTGTAAGCAAAGTAACCACCGATTTTAACGAGAAAGAGAGAGAGAGAGAGCTACGCTTCCAAAGGCATTTGCAAAATGGAACAAAACAGGACCTGCTACTGTGTTTGCTTCCCATATGCAATCAGAACTGAAGGGGTGTGTGGCTGGATTTCCCCTGATTGCAGCTCGTGTCAACTCGCCCGCTCTCGCGCAAAGTCACCATGGGGACACTAATGGGCCTCTGCCCAGATTTGGCCAATAATTACTTCACCTCCCAAGTACGGACTTCTTCCAGTTTGAGGGTGAGCCTGGAAGTTTCAAGAAACCAGTTGCAAAAAATATCTACGGACAAACACCCACCGCTTGAAGACTGCCTTCCAAACAAGCGACGCGAATACCAAAAGTTCAAACTGCCCGCATGTCATGTCGCTACAAGCATGCTTGCAATGGCTTTCGCTGAAAACACTCCTGGATCTTGGTCTTGATGGCACGCTGCACAGAGCTTTTGACCTGTGCTGATCAGCCACATAAAATCGGCAGTTCTGCAGCTTCAGTTTCGGCAACGCTTCGCCCATAGCCTGGTTCTGGCCAGACACGTCGCCGGGCGTGAATCCTTTGAACATCCTGGGGTGACATCTCAATCAAACGCGCCATGTGCTCACTCATAATGCATGCAAACACTGGCTGGATCTCTTTGATGCTTGTGTACTTATCCAGAACATTGCTCATGTTGCCTTAGTCTTTAGTTGGCGATGTGTGCATCGCCTTCTCGCCCAAAATGCCAACTTGAGGACTCTGTCACTGCTTCTTTTTGTCCTACCGAGCAGGATTTGAGCCTCTCTGAACTCTGGGAGGGGCTGCCCGAGAAGCAAACATCTTCAAACCTCCTTCTCTTCTCCACCGATCCCTCTCCCTCACTGCAAGCTGGCGCCAGCCTGCTGAACGTCGGAGTTCAAGGAAGCGGCTGGCTGTTCTATGCGTTGCGGCAAGTGCAACTGGTTTTAGACAACAGGCTGCCACCCTCGTATTCACTATGAAGGACGCAAAACGGATTGCAATTGAAACCAATAGACTCTAACCACGGACATGCATCCTTTCCAAAAACAGTGACGCTGCCTCCAGCTTCCTGCTGCAGCACAATTTGCTGAGTATATGATTTGACACGTGCTGAAGGGCATAGCACGTCGAACTTTGCTACTTCGAATCTGGAGCCAGACTCGCGGAGCTTGGGGTTCGGGCACGCAAGTCTTCGAGGCAACTGTCCAATGACTGATCGCGTATTGGGTAACTCGTTTCCTCGGTCAATTTTGCATCGCTGTCTCCCCCGGACCCAACTTAGCGGGGTCAATCTGAGACTGCCGCCAGGACGGATCAGTTCACTCGCTGCCTGGCAGGTGGTCAGTTGAGTGTCAATCCCAAGAGACAATTTTATGGGGTTTGAGCAAGCGGTCCAGTCCCACTTTCAATTCTAAAGCTAACTCGAAGGAATTGCCCTCCAAATGATGGCACGTGATGGCACTGTTCTTATGATATCAGGCCATCAGGTTGTCTTTCAACATGCCCCTCCTGCTTGAAAAGAAGTACATACACAACCTCCTCTGATTTCCCACGTGAGCAGTGCTCTAAACCTCGTTGCGGTGGCAGAGAAATATCACTTTCCTTCCGCGAAGGCTTCCGCGGAGCTTGCGCGGCATGAAAGGGTCCTTCCGCAAAAGGTTTGCACGAGGGTATCGCTTCCGCGTCGCTTCTGCGGATTGAGAAATGGGAGTGAAGTTTGTTTTCGCTTCCGCGTTCTCGGGCAGCTTCCGCGAAGCTTCCGCAAGCACTTAAATGAGAAACCCCATTCCGCGAACCTTGCGTGGCGCTTGCGCGACCTAGGAAAAATCAGCATTTTGAAAACGATATTTCCTCCCGAATACTACTTTCAAGTGCAGAAACTGTAGAACGTCGCTCACGTGCTTTCAGATTTTGAAAGTTGCCGCGTGGAGGCAAAAGGTTGCAGGCCCAACCACTGTCCCTGTGCTGCAATGTGTGTCATTGCTCCCGCGTGGTCTTCGGACCACCACCCTTTGCAATATGATGTGATGAGATAAAGTCGAGGCGGGGGGGGGGGGGTTAGCACTCCCTTGACACGTGCTACTTCTGTTAAAATTGCTCAAATGGAACATGTCAAAAGGTGACGATTGGTCTGGAGCTTTGTGAGGTAGGGGTGGAAAGGGCTCAAAAATCCATCGATATTCGCTGATACTGTATGTAGCAATAATACTATTGTGTTGTGCTGG